AAAAAAAAAAAAAAAAAAAAAAAAAAAAAAAAAAAAAAAAAAAAAAAAAAAAAAAAAAAAAAAAAAAAATAACAACTTACTGCTGCCTCTATACCCTTAAGCCTCGAGACTTGTTTAAGATCAGGTCTACTTCTTAATACAAGTAAATGTGAATAATTTGAATTAATTGCCGAACGATAAGGAATTGCCTCAAAGAGGAGAGCGTCAACTAGAGGCTCCGTCATAGGCATTAATGGGGAATCCTTAGAGAAACGTGGCAGTAACGAGGAACATACTATAGGGGATAAAGTACATAAAGGACGACATATACCATCATTATTATTTCCTCCTCTTGTTGATCCTGATTGTCCTGATTGTTCTGATGGGGATAGGGATGAAGAAGATGTACTTATTGATGTATTTACTGCTCCTCCTCCTGCTGCAGAAACTCCTGCAGCAGATTTTGGAGGGTCCAATTGGGGGCCCCACGGGGGCCCCCATAATGGTAATTGGACAACTGGACCCGTTAGGCCCGGTAATAACATTGAGGCCCTTAGACACTCAAATAAAGAAGGTAAATCTTTTATTAATCCCCCCTTACTATCTAATGTTACTGAATTCAGACTATGGAGACCTGCAGCTATTATCTGCATGCATATACACACACACACAAAAAAAAAAAACAAATAAATATATATATGTATATATATGTACATATATATAAATATATAGATATATACATACATATATACAGAAATATGCATATACAGGTATACATGCATACACAAATATATACACATATAGATACATATATATGCTCATGGCCCTGCAGCAGTTGTTAATAAATATAAATAAATAAATAAATAAATAAACAAAATAAATAAATAAATAAATAAATATGCTTACCCTGAGTGGCTGTTTCTGATTATTAATGATGAATTGTGGCCAATTGAATGGCTGCATTTGTTGCAATACATAAGAGAAGAGAAGATCAAGATTAATTAAGGGTTTACCTAATCTTTTTATTAATAAACCCTTAATATCTAGATCTAATAAACAACCAAACCCTAATGCCCTACCAATAGATAAAGGATTAATAAAAGATCTACCTAATGATGGTAAACAATCTGTATATACACTTGTACCCTCATATGCCAGCTGTCTAGACACCCCAAATGCACCTATTAATGCACCTGCACTACTACCTAATAAACAATCAAATGTATCCATAAACCCTAAATGTTGGAGGCAGACAGCCATCCCTGCACACACGCATGCCCTCATTGCTCCTCCTTCTATGGCTAATGCTAGACTCTCCTTTTCTTCCCCTTCTTTTTTATGTATGGGGGGCCCCAGGGGGCCCCCAGAAAGCGGCGATACAAGCGGGCCATTTGTACCCTTCAAAAATGGAGAGGAGGGATATAGGGGGCCCCCCCCATCTTCATAGGGTACAGAGGGAGATGAGGAGGGGCCGGGGGGGCCCTGGGGGCCCCCAGGGCCATCTGTACCCCATCCTACACCACGTACACTCCATGAATGGGGGCCCCCTGCATTAGGACCACATGCAGCACCAGCAGCACCAAAGGGGCCCCCACCTAATAAACGTCTCTTATACATAACAAGCGCAACAGGATGTACGCATGCATGCAGCAGCTTGCTGCACTGCTGCAGCAGCAAAGAAGCACCTCTTATAAACCCTTCAGGGTCGTCACTACGACCACAGAGCCAACGAGTTAGAGAGGATCGTGCTGCTGCTGCACCCTTGCTCAATCTGCTGCTGCTGCTGCTGCTGCTGCTGCTGCTTGTAGTAGCACGCAACAGGTACTGCAGTATATGCTGCAGACGCAGCAGCAAGACAGGATTAAAAGGAGGCTGAGGACAATGTAAATCTCCATACACCTCCATAGACCTGCAACATAAACCCTAAACCCTAAACCCTAAACCCTAAACCCTAAACCCTAAACCCTAATTCCTAAAGGTTCGCTGAATCCGTCATGCAGCTATTAGTCTTTCCTCTCCAAACATAACACGAGGGTTTATGAGGGTTTACTTCTAGGGTCTACAACAGTTGTCTAGGGTTTATATTACTAGGGTTTAGGGTTTAGGGTTTAGGGTTTACGTACGCCAAGGGGACCCCTCTTGCTAATGCTTTATCCATTTGCTCTTCGCTATGAATGCGAATACGACGACCACCAAAGAGGGCCCCCCGTAAACCCTTAAAGGCAGCAAGGGGGCCCCCAGGGGCCCTCCGCAGACCCAAAAAGGGGCCCCCCAGGAGGCCACCCGAGGGGCCCCCTAGAGGGCCCCCAAGGGGGGCTCCAGTACCCTCGCGTAGGGAACTGCCGCTCTTAAGGACATAAGGGACTCCTCCTCCGACAGGTCTTGCTGCTGCTGTTGCTGCTGTTGCTGCTGTTGCTGCTGGCGACCAGCAGCCGCTGCAGTGTCCCTGGTGAGGTCCAATAGGAGAGGTGAAGGCATAATGCAAACGTAGGCGCTGCTGCTGCTGCTGCTGCTGCTGCTGCTGCTGCTGTATAGGACAGCGGCGAAGAGAAAGAGCCGCTGCAGCGCAGCCGATGTCTTGCAGCAGCAGCAGCAGCAGCGGTAGCAGCAGCAGCAGCAGAAAACCCAAGCGGAAGGGGCACGCTGCTGCACTATTACGCAAAAACGAATTGGCTAGAAAGTGCTGCTGCTGCTGCTGCTGCTGCTGCTGCTGCTGCTGCTTTGTTGTCTGTTTTTGCTCCTGCATCCTCATTACAGCCGGAGCGGGAGGACAGCGGATAGTTGCTGCTGCTGCAGCTGCTGCAGCTGTTGCAGCTGTTGCTGCTGCTGACTGCGTTCCTGCTGCAGCTTGTGGCTCGCGGGCTGTGAAGAGGCGGCATTGAAGACACAGTGGCTGCTGCTGCTGCTGCTGTTGCTGCTGCTGTTGCTGCTGCTGTTGCTGCTGATGCTGCGGTTGCAGCTTTTGCTCTTGTGCTGCTGTTGCTGGTGTGTTGCTGTTACTGCTGCAGTTGCTATCCTTTTTGCTGCTGCTGCTGCTTCTGTGTTGTTTCTGCAGCTAGTGTGTTGTTTCTGCTGTTTGTGTAGCTGCTGCTGCTGCGGCTGCGGTTGCTGCTGCTGTCGTCCTTCCTGCTGCCGTTGCCGTTGCTGTCGCTATTGCTGCTGTTTCTGTTGTTGCTTTTGCAGCTGTCTTGCTGCTGTTGCTGTTGGTGTTGTTGTTGTTGCTGATGTTGCCGCTGCTGTCGCCGCTGCTGCTCCTGCTCCTGCTGCTGCTGCTCCTGCTGTTGTTGTCTTGGTTGCTGCCACTATAGCAGGATTGCTGCAACCTCTGTCGCTGTTATGTTGCTGTATTTTGTATTTAAGACCGCTCCTCTTGCTGCTGTTGCTGCTGTTGCTGCTGCTGCTGGAGACAGGGGGCCCCCCACGGCCGCCCAGCTAAGGAACCGGAGCAGCAGCAGCAGCTGCGCTTGCTGCTGGTCTTGCTGTTGCTGCTGGCATAGATATACTAAAGAAGTCAAAAAAGCATTGATTCTACTGCTTCTGCTGCTTCGGCTGCTGGTGTTGTTGCTGCTGCTGCTGCAGACATACCACTGCTGCTGCTCGTCGTCGGCAGCACCAGCCGGAGCTACACTCTACCGTGTTGCTGCTGCTGCCGCTGTTGCTGCTGCTGCTGCTGCTGGGGGGAGGTCAATGCAGCAGCGACCGCAGCTAAATGCTTTCCTTCGCAACTCCAACAGTTTATTAAATGCTTTTATAGCAGCAAATGCAGCAGATATTCCTTTATCTATGAAGCAGCAGCATAGGTAAGACCCCACGCTGCTGCTAGCAGCGGCAGCAGCAGCTGTAGCTGCAGCTGCAGCAGCTGCAGCAGAAACCAGTCCCCGTAGCAGCTGGCTGCTGCTGCTGCGCAGCAGGAACTTCTGCAGTGTATGTACATTGCAATGCAGCTGTTTATTTTCTTGACACTCAAAGACCGCGGGGGGACTTTGTTTGAGCAGTAGTAACCCTCAGCGGCAGCTGCAGCAGCAGCAACAACAGCAGCAGCGGCAGCAGCAACAGCAGCGGCGGAAGCTTGCTGTAGCAGCGGCTGCAGCACAGCAGTAGAATCGAGCAGCAGCAGCAGCCTCCTTTTTGTTAGTTGAAATTTTATCTTTTATATTTCTTGTTGCTGCACCAAGTGCTGATTCAACACCACAGACAGCAGCAACAACAGCAGCAGCTGCTGCTGCGGCTGCTGCTGCTGCTCGGATGGTCTGGTGGCAGCTGCGTCTGGTACTGCTCTTCAGAGGATCAGCAGAGCCTCTGGAGTGGCAGCAGCTGGTGTAACTGCAGCAGCAGCAGCAACACCTGCAGCAACACCAGTAGCAACAACAACAACAACAACAGCAGCAGCAGCAGCAGCAACAGCAGCAGCAGCAGCAACCATGGATTTCAAGAGGGAAGAAGCTTCGAGCGCTTCCGTGCCTCCTGAGTCTCCTCTACCTCAGCAGGAGCAGCAGCAGCAGCAGCAGCAGCGCCACCCAAGGAAGCCCTCACATGTGCAGTATCATCAGCATCTGCAGCATCATCATCAGTTGCTCCATCATCAGCAACTCCATCATCAGCAACTGCAACTACATCAGCATCACCTGCAGCAGCAGCAGCAACTGCAGCAGCAGCAGCAGCAACTGCAGCAGCAGCAGCAGCAGCAGCAGCAGCAGAGCCTTGTATGCTTCCAGCCATTTTCTTTCTTAATAGAAGTCTCCTTTTGGCGTCTTTTATCAGAAAGAAAACTCAAAGATTGGCGACTAAATACTCCTTGGGTACCAATTATAGCTACTTATAGTTGTACAGCAGCAAAGCCTCTGCAGCAGCAGCAGCAGCAGCAGCAGCAGCAGCAACGACAGGCAGGACAACATGCTGCTGCTCCTTGTAGAGTTCGTATCGATGCTGACTCCTTAGATATTGTGCAGCAGCTGCTGCATGAGGCGCAGCAGCAAGATGAGGGTATAGATGTATCGGTTCAGCAGGAACAGCAGCAGCAG